TTACAATAGTTTAGGCGGGAAAATTTGAGCTGCTTGGCTTTTATATATATATAGATTCTCTTTTGGGGAGCGATCTTAGTTGGTCTGTTTGTGTCTGTTAGTTGTGTGTTTGTTTTTTCTATTCTAGCGTGGCTAGTGAGGTTCTAGGCGGACTTTTGATCCGTTCTCTCAGTTTCTAGTTTCGGGTTGTAATATTCAGCCTTGGGCTGCTTTTTGCACTGTTGTGCGTTTTGATTTATAATATCTCNNNNAAAAAAAAAAAAAAAAAAAGAATCAAGCAAGCCTTGTTCAAAAAATGTAAAATTTCAATCCAAATGTTAAATAGGTGTTCAAAATTAATATTGAAACCCCAAGTTGTCTTTTTAAAATCATAATTGATTCAACAATCTAAAATTATATGTGGTAAACCACGGTTTTGCTATGAAGCCAACAGTTGGCTCTATAGTGGAGTCAACCTTCTATATACAACAAATAAATATTGAGAATGGTATGTATCAAAGTACCAATGCTTTCTTTTTCCTAGCTACTCCAGTTACTCCAGTTACTCCAGATTGCTATGTTTCCTCTGTTGGTGTACCTCTAGGTCTCTGAAATACAATACTTTGTCAGAATTCCAGAAATTCTAAAACAAACAACGTAATGTCAAACAAAAAATAATACTTTAACTGTTACCTTAGCAATAGGTTCACTTCCACCTACCTCAGTGTTTTCTCTCATGATCATTTGTCTACCTCTAGGCCTCTGACATTAACAAGTTTGTAAAATTTAAGGAATCTTAAAAAATATAATGTCAAAAAAAAAAAAAAATAATGCCATGAGACTTATACCTTAGCAATTGGTTCACTTCCACTTGTCTATCTGCTTTCTGTCATGAGCCTTGGTCTACCTCTAGGTCTCTGAAATTGACATGTTTGTTCAAAATTCAGAAACTATGAAAAAAATATAAATATATAATTCCTAACAACAAAATATACCTTAGCAGGTTTTGGAGTTGGGTCATTGGTGCAAGTCTCTTGTTGTGGCCAACTTGGAAACATATTTGGCATGTCATTTGCAAGCCAAACCTCTTCAGCCGTATGTTTGACTTAGCCTCTTCTTCAGGTACTTTTTTTCTACTGATCTTAGGCCTACCTAGCATTCTTCTGAATGGTGAGGGCGTAATAGGATACCCTGAAGCCTCTGGCCACATCCTCTTCCCATTAAGGGGCTCCATGGGGGAATGAGTATGATGCAATGAGCCTTTCACAACTATATACAGGGGATATAAAATTTGTGGCATCTTTTTTCAACCAGTGAATAACTGAGCATACATGGACACAAGGTATACCATTTATATCCCATTGCCTACATGTACAACTCATATCTCCCAAATCAACAACAAATTGGTCTTCAAAACAAGTGACCTAATATTTGTTTCCTAGAGCAGGTTTGGTGACACACAACCTACTTTTGTACTTAGTTTCCTCTAGTTTTTTCCTGATCCTAGGGCAAATTGAGTCAGTAAGACCACTTCCCATGTTCAATTTTTCAACTTGTCTTTCCATCACATATGTTCTTATCATTTCAAGTATTTCAACAATAGGCTTTTTCCCAGCCCTAACAATAGTGCTATTGAAGGTCTCACATACATTATTTAGCACCATGTCACATTTAGGATGCACTGAAATTAAGGCCTTACAAAATCTGAAGTTGTCTTGCTCCAAGAACTTGTTGTGTGCTTCTGGACACTCAGCTTTCATCTCCTCCAGTGATTCCTTATAGGCTGCAAGGAATGTGCAATGGACAGTCCTCTAAAACATGTTTTTCAGTGTATGACCCTTGTGTTCTTTCTTCCAGTTCATATAAATGTGTCTAGCACAATTCCTATGCTCTGCCAATGGCCCCAAATCTTTTACTGTATTAATCAGTCCCTACAATCCATTTGAACAAGGTAAAAGTTAAAAGTTATATAACATTATCCACAAACTATTTGACGAAGGAAAAATATATTAAGTAGATTAGTTACCTTCTGTTGGTCACTAATAAAGGTCCAACCCATTCCATCTCTGATGCCAAACTCTTCAAACAAAATATTCAAGAACCACTTCCAATTTGCCTCATTTTCATAATCCACCACTATCCATGCAATGGGATAAATCAACCTCTTGCGACTCGCGACCTTTTGTCGCGACTCGCGACGTAGAATCGCGATTTACCTGCTGCTTAAAAAAAAAAAATGAGGTCGCGACTCGTGACTCTATGTCGCGACTTACATGGAACTTAATTAAAATGACGGGCCTTCTTTTCTTTTGCAGGTACTCTCATTCTCGCTCGCGACACACAAAAGATATCTCTCTCTCGCGACAAACGAAAAGAACACAGAGAACAAGAAAAATTGCGACCCAAACCCTCTCGCTCCACCACCGGCCATCATCTCCGGCCACCAGCGCGTTTCACCTCCAGCGATCGCGTTCTTTCCATCATCTTCTTCTTCCATAGTCCGTCATCTCCTCCCTCGCGCTCGTACAGGCTCACGATCGCCAACCCTAGGTCCGATTTTTCAACACTCGATCTCTCAGCGGTTTCATCTCCGGCCAGCAAGCATCTCCGCGCTCCGGCCATCCCTCAGTTCTGATCACCGTCAACTTTTCTTCTCCGGCCAACCCTATCATCCTCCTCCTCCTAGTCCAGGACCACAGTGACTTGTCACTGTGTTGGTCAGTTTTTCTTTTCTTTTCTCTTTTTATTTTTATTTGTTCTTTTCGTCTTCTCTTTTATTTGTTGAGTCGATTGATTGTGTAGTACAACTTCCCTTAGCTGCGAGTCGACAATGGGGACATTGTCTGCTTTAAAGTGTGGGGGAGTTTTTGCATACTTTATGTGGCTATGTGGTTGACCAGGTCTAGTTTTTATTTTTAGGTTGGTTTATTTCTTTCTTTTGTATGGTGGACCAGTCTAGTTTTAGGTTTCTGTGTTTTCTGAGTTTAGATTATGGTGTATTGTAAGACTGGTTGATAACTGTTGGTTGAATTGAGAAGTTGTGATGATGTGATCGAGTAACGCATTTTGATTAATTGGCTTGGTTGTTTCGAGGAACATATTTACCTTGTGAGGTTTGTGCCTATTTTGTTTCTTGTGTGAAATTGGTCAGAATCTTGTCAAGTAGAATTTGCCTTGAGACTGCTTTGAAATGACTCGATTAGATTAGTGAAGCATGAATATGATTGAGGCATTCCTTGCATTATCTTTTCCTTCTTCTTTTCGTGAATAACAGTCGCTAGTCACCCCCTTTGAGCCTTAATTGATTTTGTTGATTAACCTCGTGATGATGATATTGAGTTGCGGGATAGTATCGGAGGTGATTGTTGATTGCATTGTATATATGTTCATTTGCTTTGAAAAAAAAAAGAAAAAAAAAACAAA